TTGTGTTAGCCGTGTATTATTTGTCCAATTATTTAAGGCTATTAGCTTATTTTGTATGGAGGACTTACCCAACATAATTATATTGGCTTATGAAAAACTATCTTGGCTTGTATATTGAACAAGAGGCATTGACATTCAGCATCAGAAATTTTCTCCTTCAGCCAATCAGAAAGAGGCAAAAACTTAGTTTGACACTATTTGCAGTCAAACAACTGTCAAAATTAGGCTAACATAGGAAATAAGCTAATTTCGTTTTATTTGACCAAGATTTAACTATTTGCTTGTGATGGTTGAATAGAACATGCCTATTATAAGCGTGTTTTTAGTCGAAAATGGTGTCACACTTATCTTAAAAAATGCATTATCTTCAGTTTTGCATAGAGAACAAGACTCCACCGCGATTGTATTTAAATGAAAACTTAAAAAAGATGAAAAAAGTAAAAATAACCACTCGTGCTCATATACCCCCCTAGTGTGTATGTTACGTATGCGCCCGCAGCACCATATAACGGGTGATTTTTTTGAGGTTAGGATTTTCATGCATTAGTANTTAGTCGAAAATGGTGTCACACTTATCTTAAAAAATGCATTATCTTCAGTTTTGCATAAAGAACAAGACTCCACCGCGATTGTATTTAAATGAAAACTTAAATAAGATGTACTAAAAAGTAAAAATAACCACTCCCCCTAGTGTGTATGTTACGTATGCGCCCGCAGCACCATATACATACATTCAGCTAACACATTTACTCACACGCCTTAAATGAAAAGTCATATAATTTAAAAGTAATTAAATATTGGCGTGGAAGATTTCTACACGATATTCCTTATGCACATTTACATATATTACTTTCTATATTAATTTAAAAATTAATTTCGAGTGTGCCAATAAAAATTGTAAAAGTTTCTCAAATCATAGTCATATTTTACTAAATGTAATTTTTTTTTTAAATTTGGTGGCACACTCTTGAAACTTTACAGATGTGCTGTATTTGGTGTCAACGTCCATTGATGAACATTCTATATGAAATACTCCCAAAGTTATTAAAAAAAAAACAATTTTTTCGAGTGAAGATAAGAAACTGAGTAATTTCGGTACTGTTTCGCCTAAATAACCGTTTTAGAGCTAAACTTGTTTAAATACTTTATTTATTTTATATTGTTTTTGTTTCTGGAACCCAACTAATTAAAATATATGCAAGTGTTTTTTTCCGGCGAGAGAAGGATGTACACTGAAAAAATAAATCGTGAGATTTCCTCATATACGGCTAACGCTGAATAAAAGATCACTCTGCATATTGTTTACTTAGACCAGTCACCATCAAAACCAATCACGACTAAAAAGAAGCCCATGAGTAGAGCTTTTTCAAAGGATTTTAAATTAAGCTTCCTATAGATTGTATTAACATGGGTTTACAGCGGTGATGCTCTACACCAGCGATGGGCAAATAGAGCTTTTACTCTTCACGCGCCTGTACAAAATGTATAGAAAGCTTAAAAGAGCTTTGTCCGCGGGCAAGGAGGTGCCCATCCATGGTTTAGAGCGAAAGCTGTCTCTGGCGTCGCTATGTTATACTCAAAGAAAAAATAAATTTAAGAGATATATTTAAGAAGCTACTCCCGCGGAATATATTTTTGGTCACGACCAATACAATTATTGTCAATTTCGTAGCCAAGCTTTTTTAAGTTCTCAGTATAGTTTATATACTTGACGTCTGCAAAGTAAAAGCTCTTAAGGGCGGGAAGCTATCCTAGACAAGCTGACGTTCTTTGGCAGTCACGAACAAAACCCCCCGGTCGAAGCTGCTTAAAGCAGCATTTTTTTAATAATTTCCTTTCGATCTAAAGCTGAGATCCCACGATTGCCGCAAATGGACCAATCTGGAACAATTTTTATTATGCTGTATTGGAGCACAATAAAAAAATTGTCCCAATCAAATTCTGTACAGTCACACGGTTGCCTCTTTTTATACAATTCTCATTGCCGTAAGTTGGCGAAAAGCAATATAGTGACAATAATTGCCCCAAACTTATCACACGATTGTTCGAGCATGCGGCAATTGTGACCATAAAGTGTTGCGCTGACCTCTAAATTCTGTTTTTTTTCTCTGTTGTGTAAAAATGGCGTATTCTTAATAAAAATAAATAAATCAATTGCATCTGCTTTGTATATTGCGAGCTCATTTTGTTCATATTTGTTGTTGTTTGAAAGCAAGGAAGCAAAAACTTCTGCCCAACGAAAACTCACGCATTTATTTAGAAGTTTGATTGTATAGTTTTTTTATTTTTCGACGATAACTGCAACGTGCTATGTGGAGTTCAAGTTGCAACAGTTTTCTTTTTAATTTTGTTACGTAGAGGTTTTTTTATTCATTACAAGTAAAATTGGTACAAAAGAGTTATGTTTGTTTAAATGAAAGCTGCGAATTTACATAATTTATGTTTGGAATTAAATTTTATAATTATATGTACAGCTCGCAACAAAAGATAGCACCTTAACATTTTGATCAGTCTTGACTCTTTTCTTCTGTTGTTTAATGTTAATTATTTTTTTGCAATTTGGATTTATGCAGTTTTTGTTAGACAATGAGCTATAATTTTATACGAAAATAATGAAGATTAAATAAGTAGAAGAAAAATAGTCAAGACTGGTCAAAATGTTGAGGTTCTACTGCTTTGTCGTGGGCTGTATTGAACTTTTAAGTTTTTTTTTTTAATAAATTTATACTGTCATGGCAGTCCGCCATTTGGTGACATAAAATACCTTTCGTATTCTTCTCGTATGAGTTTTGCTTGTGGTGGTATATATCGTGGCAAATATTCCGTTATCGGACTTCAAGAAAAATTATAATTTCACTACAAATTAAATTAAAAGTTATGTTGCTTCCGAAAACAAGGATATTAATTTCAGTGATTTTTGGACACATAAGGAAGCAAAAAAGTAAATTATTAATAAACAGCCTAAATATTGATGTGTATTGTTCACTTCAATTGCCGCACAAGAATACAATAAATATTGCCGCAATTTTGAAATTTTCATTGCCCCATGATTGCCAATCGAGCTATCACACGAGCTATCACACGATTGCCGCACATGGGCCGTATTTGATTGGGCACAGTAAGCACAATATCGGCCTCTATTGCCGCATGAGTCAATGTATTGTAAAATCACACGATTGGGGCATAAAATGAGGCAATAATTGGTGTATTGCGGCAATCGTGAGATCCCAGCTTAAGTGAGAGAGTCAAAACAAATCAGGCAGGGTATGCTGCTATTCAACGCTGTCTGTAGTTTTATATGGACAGAAAAAGAATAAAAGCTCTCTCTGGCCTTCACTGATCTAACTGCAAGGACGCCTACAAAGTAAAAGCTCTTACCGCCCTACGTTGTTCTACACCAGCTGACCTTTTTTGGTCCAGTTGACCTTTTGGAGCTTCTTAAATCCTTTAGTAAATTTGTTATAGGCGCACATACGGTAAAAGCTCTCTGATGACAGTTGCTCTGTAGGCGTTTCTGTAACGATTTTCTTTCAATCTAACTTAGACAGATTCAAAACAAATCAGGCGGGAGAAGCTATTCAACGCTGTCTGTGGAGTTTTTATGAACGGAGATAGATTAAAAGCTCTCTCCTCTGGACTCCACTGATCTAACTGTACGACAAGGGGCACGAATAATGGCAATTTGTGTTATCCTATAGGTACTCGTAAGAAAAATCAGTTCCTTGCTCTCCACAATTACAGAAACCATACCGCTTAGGCCAATGAGATAGTTGATTGACCTGTGGCACAACCTACGACAAAGACAGTTAACAGTCAAATTATGGGCAAAAGGCAAGAAATGGACAGTTTTCAGATGAGTAACATTTAGCTTGTTGAAATGGAAAAAAACTGTAATCGAATGTTTCCAAAACATCGATTTAACGTTATCTATAACAATCAGAAAAAGGCATTTAACTCAACCTTTTATGGGCCTGCTTCTTCAAATAGTAATAGTAATAGTAATCAGTTCTGCTCTAGCAGGTCTGAGAAAAGTTGCCTCATCCGGCCTTTACGGCTTGGTTACGAAGAAAACTCTCTAATTAATATTTTTCATGTAGATATCACGCTTTTCTTTCAAAGTGATTTGATCGATTCGACTTGCTCATCTTTCAAAACGATATGTTCACATAACGAAAGATTGCAAATATTTCACAATAAATATAAACCAAAATATTCCTCTTCGAAATCTTAAAAAATTTTTTTTTCCCCGAATTGCCACGCCTTCTCTACCAATTAGCCAAAGAAAATAAACGTTTATTTTTTTTATGGTTCAAAGCATAGCGAACAAGCGAACCAGAAAGCTAATGAAAGAACACGAGATGCTATTAATAAAAGTTGAAATAAAAGAAAACAAAGAATATAAATGATAGAGCCGTCCGAGAAGACTTGTACATTAGACCGTACAACCAAGAAAAAAAGAAATAGTTCCTTTGCAAGAGTTGTATGATTTTTGGGGAGCTTTACTTGACCGAAATATGGGTGGTACGTTAGAGTAGTAAGAACTGAGATCTGGTGGGTAAGTCCTGGAACGGGATACCTGCGGTCAATGAACTTTAGTACAGAAAACAAACATTGATATATAAAATTTAAGATCGGGCTCTAAATGTCGAAGATATAAAGAAAATTAAAAAAAAATGTTTCGAAAGAGCCCCGCGAAAATACTTTCGACTCAGGGATGTAAGGCAAACTTGTTTTTTTTCAGTACGGTCTATTGTACAGATTGTATAAATCTGACGCTTTCAAAAAAGGCTTGCCCCTCCGTACTGCCTGCTTAGTGTGTTGTACACCCCTCACCTTCGCTACTCGCGCCGCCTTTTCAAATGACAATACTCAGGGCGCGCACCTTAAGTGCGCTCAGTAGAGCGTTGCATTGCAGCTGTCATTAAAAAGTTCAACTAGAGAATATTTCGGCAGCTGCATTTGTACATTATGTATGTAAATGCGCTTGTACAGTGGATTTTGTAGAAATTTATTGAATTTAGCTGCTCTTCGCTGCCTAGCATTCACAAATTAATTTCATCGACCAGTTGTGGCGCGACTGGCGATTACGCAAACTGAAAATTTCAAAAATCTTAGCAAACTATAGTGTGCGCTTTTATATTAATTTATTATAGATATACACATATAGTATATTTATTGTATATGCTGACATCTGTTTCAAAATTCGCGTGCCGTCTGTTTGGAAAATAATTTAAAAAAAACACATAAATTTTCAAAAGTTCAGTAGAAGCGCGAGGCAAAAAAAAAAGAATGACAAATCCTGGCAAATGCGCAGTTTGTGGAGTGACGGCGGCACAGAAGTGCGGCGGCTGTCGAAATGTGGTCTATTGTGGCAAAGAGCATCAGATCATACACTGGAAGAAGGGTCACAAGGCGGAGTGCAAGTGTTATGAGGTGAATTGCAAGCGATTTTTAAAAGTAATAAACTTATTATTAATAATAATAATATAATAATTTGGCGCTTACACATATGTTAGTATTTGGCCTTTTTGGTATTTTGGTAATAAACTTATTATTAATAATAATAATATAATAATTTGGCGCTTACACATATGTTAGTATTTGGCCGAGCTTCTCCTCCGATTTGTGGCGTGCGCCTTGATGTTGTCACACAAAGCGGAGGGTTCTACAGTTTTACGCCGACTCCGAACGGCGATTGTATTTTTATGAGAAGCTGTTTTTCATGGCAGAAATACACTCGGAGGTTTGCCATTGCCTGCCGAGGGACGGCCGCTGTTAAGAAAAAACTGTTTTTTTTTTATTTTTTGCGATGTTGCTTTGACCAGGGCTTGAACCTAGGCGTTGCGGAGTGGAAGCGCGCACTGCTTACCACTACACCACAGCGGCCGACAACTTCCCACCATGCAAAACATGAGAAATAGGCAACAATCGTCAATGGCAACAAATTGGCGACTCACCGGTTTATTGCTGTGGTGACAAATCGGCAACAACATTTCTTTCATGTCAACTTTGGAATAAATAAGTTATCAAAAATTCCTAAGCTTATAAATTTCGCGTTGATAGTATTATCCAAAATCGTCTAATTTTTACCAGTGACAGAATTGAAAAAAAAGGAAGCCCCATAGAGAAAGAAAGAATTATTTCTGTTTCTATATAAGCTCCAATTTTGTATACAAAAAATGATTGAAGTATTAAAAAGAATACAATTATTGCAAATATCGCCTGAAGCGATAAGAAAATGACTCATTCAGGTAATAAGAAAACGACTCACCCAGGCGAGTTGCCTTCGGCGGACGTTTTAGAGCGACTGGTAATAGGAAATCGACACGATGGCAATATTACCGGCAATAAATTTGTTACCGAGGGCGAAACGTTTTCTTATTGCCGGCAACAAAAATTGTTTGGTGGGTTATTACTGAAAATAAAAAAGTGAACATAACAGGTAAAATAATATCTGAGTTCCAATATACTACATATATACTCGCGTAGAGATAGAAACGAGTGCTCCATAAGTAATTTTTAAGCAAAAACGCAACCGACTCCATTGCGCATACAAAAATGTAGGGGCGTTATTTGCTGCATGATTCAGTAGTCGGAACTAAACCAAATTAGTAATGTACCACTTTTCCGATAAAAATAAATAAAAAATATCGAAAACGGCTCATGTGTTGTAAAGTTATCCTGGAACATAAGTACATAAAAAAATTAAATAAAAAATATAGTCCGCGAATTGATAACCTCCTCCTTTTTTGAAGTCGGTTAAAAATACATAGTATTGTTTAGTCAAAATCACGCGGAATCGATTCAAGGTGTCACAGTAACCCATTAACTACCGATCCATCTTCAGAAACACATTTTTATACATTTCATGAACATGAAATGGTATCATAATTTTGGTCCGATGTTTGTAAGTACCAGAATAAGAAAAGATAGACCCATTAAAATGTATACCTAAAAGATCAGAAGACGGGCTGAGTCGATTTAGCCATGCCCGTCTGTCCGTCTGTCTGTCCGTCTGTTTGTATGCAATATAGTCTCTCAGTTTTCAAGATATCCGGATGAAATTTGGTGGGTGGCTGTATTTTTTTATTGTATTAATCATTTGTCGGAACCGGAAGAATCGGACCACTATAACATATAGCTCCCATACAACTGATTGTTCAGATATGAGATTTTTCGTTATATCCATTATGCAGCTAAGAACATGAAATTTTGCAATACTTCCACCCATTATTATCAGAAAACTTGGAGTGAAAATTACAAAGATCGGGTCACTATAACCTATAGCTCCCATACTACCAATTGTTCAGATATAAGATTTTTCGTTATAACTCCTCCCTTTAAGGAGCTAGTAACATGAAATTTTGCACTGTTGTCACTCAGTATCAAAAGAATACTTTCAATGAAAATGGCGACGATCGGGTCGCTATAACCTTTAGCCTCCATACAACTGATTGTTCAGATACGATATTTTTTGCCATAACTTCTCAATTTATGCAGCTACACATGAAAATTCTCACCATTTTCACTCAATATTAACAGAATATTTGCAGTGAAAACAATAAAGATCGGATCACTATAACATATATCTCCTGATTGTTCAGTTATGAGAATGTTAATTATAACTCCTCGGTTTATGCAGCTAGGAACGTGAAATTTGCCAATACTTCCAACTATTATCAACAGAATTCTTACAGTGAAAATAACAAAGATCGGGTCACTTTTACATATAGCTCCCATACAACTGATTGTTCAGATATGAGATTCTTTGTTATAACTTCTCCATATATGCAGCTAGAAACAGGATATTTCGCACTATTTTCACTCACTATCAACAGATAGTTTACAGTGAAATTACATACTGATCACACAGCAGTGAAAATCACTTAGATTGGTGCTATATAAGGTATATCTTCCATACCTCTAATTGTTTAGATAAGATTTTTTATGTATGTAACTCCTCTATCTATGTGTGCTGTGAATATATAAATTTTTTCAAATAGAGTAATCTGTTAAAGTAAAGTTTTCAGATGTTCATGAAAGGTATGAAGCCTTCGGCATAGCCGAAGACAGCGCTGCTTTTACTTGTTTATAATGGGCTTACGATCGACAGCGTAGTAGAATTATATCAATTAGAATGAAAAAAAAAACTATTTGACAGAAAAAAAAGTTTAACCAAAGTTAAAGTTTAAGCTTCTGGAGGTCAATTATTCTTATTCCCAAACTATTGTTTTTGTTTGTTTTTTTCATAATTTTTAGTATTCTAAAAAAATTTTTATAACTGATTTCTAATGTTTACTTAACTGCTTTTGATGTTATTTTTAGCTAAGATCTAAGTCGGATTATTTGAAAGAGCGAACATTCCCATTTTTTATGGCATCCAATTTCATTCATGGTAACCCAGTTTTCCAAGATCTTGGTGACGGTTTCTGGCTCTATCTCTATCGGCTTGCTTGGTATTCGCCTTAAGTATCTGAATCGTTAATAGATTGTTCGCATAGCATCGGTCCTTCACGGCACCCTACAATGAAAGTCGAATAGTGTCAAATCGCAGCTCCGAGGTAGCATTTCAAGCATCATTTTCACAGCAAAATGGGCCAATGATGCCACGGCTCCAAAACTCTCACCAAACTGTCACTCTCTGAGGATGCATTGGCTTCTCAACGATCACGTGCTAGATTCCCGATGATGGTTAAGATGATTTTTCAAACAAATTCGTTGTCCATTTCGAGCTGCAAAGGTTTACATTATTTCTCAACGTTGTTTCAGGATAAAGCGATTCATTTCCCGCGGGGATACGATATTAGGTTTGTTCGTCGAAAATCCAGCAAGAATTATATAAAACTCAAAATATCAGAGAGTAAGAAAAAATTCGTTCAAATCTCTCTCATTTGAGAAACTTGCAAATGCTGGTGTCCACGGTTGCATTTCAAATTCAAATGTTTATAGAATTTTTAAAATTCTTTCAGATGGACAAAAACAGGACATACATGTATATTTCTTGTTGTTCTGACTTTCTTTAACATACATTTCAATTTCATTATCGTACTAGCTGTCGGGTTTCTTAAATCGACTTTGGTTGCAATTGCACTCCGATTGCGAATACAATTTTTTTCAGCCGAATTAAGTTCAAATCATTGGAATTACCTAATTAATTATATCAACAAGTATTTTCTTTATTTTTTTCATAAAAAAATCGCTTGTTTATAAATTTTTAAATTTAATGATCTTATTTATTCAAGTTATCGTAGACAAAAATGCAACCATGCGCCACAATCACATGTTGTTTGTGGCAAATTTTTTTCCAGCAAGAATTTGCAACTTCTCCAAGAGAACTGTCACTTTGTTCTCATAATTTTTGAGTGTTGGATAATTTTTTGGTCTGCACGAACGCGATTTGGGCAAAAATCATGGTAATTCGCACAAATTCGTACAAATATTTTGCCTGACGAACAAACCTATTGTCTCTCTGTCAAGATTTCAGGGGGAAAGAGCTATCACTGTCAAAACAACATACATGTGAATAAAAAAACACCATATGGACAACCATTTACTAGAAAATTTACACATTGATAGTTTTTTGATTTTTCTCTTAAATTTAAATCTTTCCTCCCATCATGTAATATTTCCAAATGAAAAAATAATAATTTGTTCATTCTTCAAATTACTGCAAATTATCGTTCAATCGAGCACACAAACGAACTCGTATGCAATTAAAATTAGACATTAATTTATATCCTCTTCTCTCTGCTATTTTCTTAGGTGGAGCCACCCTTTTCGGTAAGCCAAATTGCTTTGATTTAGATTTTCTTGGCAAATAATCAAAATTCTGTCGCTACAAAGAAGGTGATTAACCTGCAGGTGGTCCGATCAGTTCATCGCTCTGTCGTTCCCTCATTCATACTACTGCAACAAGACATTTGGGAAATCACACAAAAAAAAATAAATAGGAAATAATGTACAACCAAGAACGTACATACTATACATAGGCCCCTATTGCGAGTGTCGACTGGCAGTAGAATAGAAATTTGTCGATCGAGTCGATCATCTTTTATTTTGCTATTGTGTAACTTGATCGATAAAAATGTATACTATTGTGAATGGTTGACTGAATTGTAAACAGCTGTTTGTTGTTTACATTTGTTTCTTTAGTCTTTCATTTACATCATTTTTAAAATAATTGCTTTTATTATAAAATTTAAAAAATGGATACGGTTGAAATATGGTTTAGTGATGAGGAAGATGATGTGGAAGCTAATAGATTAGTAGAGTTGGCTAAAGCAAGGAGGGAATTGCGAGATTCGTCGGATCCCTTGGAGTTGGAAGATGAAGTGTATGTATATATGTGAATTTTATGAATAGAAGTTGCGTTCCGGATGCTTCACGGTTTGTAGGTTTTACAGGATTTGCAGGAAAAGCTGTTTTCCTCATTA